GCTTTTGAAAAACTAGCTCACAATAGCACTTAAACCAAAAACTCGTAAGCTGCCGAAACGCAATCAAAATTCAAAATGTCAAGAATTTAATTTAGCAACATTACATTTTTTGAAGTGGTGTTACCAACTGAATGACCAGCGAGAAATTCAAATTCCAATTAAGTCAATCCGGCACCGAATATTTTTACGGTTGGCGATAACAATTTTAAAAATGGCGTCATCGATGTCACAACTACAAGTTTATTTGGTATGAACTATATGTACAGGGTGGGCATTTTATTAGGGGCCTATGTTTTTTCTCAGAAACTACAGGGTGTACAAAAAAAATATAAATACATAAGTTTCTTGGTTTTAAGCAATGTTGTGAAATATTTGAGTTTTATTTATACAGGGTGTCCCCAAAGTGCTGCACCGACTTCAAAACCAAAATTTTAAATGGAATAGCTTGTATATTTTTACATTTTTGGATTCCCGGAGAAAAATAAAGCTAACTTTTATAAGGACTCCCTATTCGAATTTTGTGTAATTTAGGCAGAAATTGAGGTTATGTATTTTTTTTTTTTAGCAAATTTATGCCCTCGCCAAATAGTGTCTTGTGCGGCTTGTAGTTGAGATTATTTAATAAAATTTCAACCACACCTTAAGAAGACTACCTCCCAATGATCTACGATGTCCAGGTTAAATTTATACAGGGTGTCTCAGGTCATAGGACATTTTTTCCAATTTTCAATATCCAAGTTTTTTTTAATGGATGTATTTTTTTTTTAGTATTTTAAATTATATTATTTCATAATATTTGGTTGGGGTGATTAGAAAATTAAATAAGCTTTTCTTTAAATTTAAACATTTGTTTATGATATTATGATCTTTTAATAAAGCGTGTGTCTAATGCTATAAACCATTTAGAGGCCGTTTACACTACATGCATAGCTCGAAATGGAGGACATATTGAAAACTTACTTTAGTCTGTTACTTAGCTTTAATTTAGGTGTTGATGTATTTTTTTAAAGATTATTCTTTGAAATTATATATTAAAATATATCGATGAAGTAAGTGGTCTAAATATTTCGTGTACTATTAGATTTAGGTATAGGACATACATACAGGGTGTTTCAGAAATGGTGTTATAAACTTCAAGGGCAGATAGTATTCATGAAAATAATTAAAAAAGTTCCTATGGATTTAGGTCCGGAAACGCTTTGTTTCCAAGATACAGGGTGATGTTTAAAAAAAAAAAAATAGTTTTTTATTAATAGCCCAAAAGAGTTTTATCCGATTTCAATGAAATTTTCACGGTTTATTTCAACCATTATTAGACATCTACTGGACCCATTAGATTTGATCCAGAATTCCCAGGGGCGTACCCAGCGACTAAGTCGGTTGTTTTTGTGCAGAAAAAAATATCACTCTGTAGTTTTTGTACGATTTTTATTAATTATTCAGATAGACACACTAAAAATACAACATTTTTGTCTCTTAAAATTTTCAATTATCTCGCTCCGTTTTCGCGGAAAAATTACAAACCATACCTCGGCACGTCTCTGGACTCCATAAGGAAAGATAAAAAATCATAGGGATTAAGGTACATCATCCATTCATTGAGTGACAAGGCCATAAATTCCATTTGAGGTTTTTTTTTTGTTTTGTTTTCATAAATCAACAAACTTCGATAAATTTTTAATCAATTCCTGAACATTTTTATTTTTTCTTATGGAGTTCAGAGACATGCCAAGGTATGGTATTGTAATTTTTCCGCGAAAACGAATCGAGATAATTGAAAAATTTAAGAGACCAAAATGTTGTATTTTTAGTGTGTCTATCTAAATAATCAATAAAAATCGTACAAAAACTACAGAGTGATATTTTTTTCTGCACAAAAACAACCGACTTGGTAGCTGGGTACGCCCCTGGGAATTCTGGATCAAATCTAATTCGTCCAGTAGATGTCTAATAATGGTTTAAATAAACGCTGTGTCTAGAATCCCGGTACCGGTAACACATTTTTTACCGGTAGTTTTGATGCCGTTACCCATATGATGCACTAGGTACCCGGGATTTAAGCAAATCCCGGTAAAAAATGTAGTCGTTGGCGGTTTCTGTTTTATCAAAGTCCAACTTAACCTAACTTTTTATGTTTTTAACTTGTTTTGTTGATGTGTGAACGTAAAGTGGAGTGTTTTGATGAGTTTATCAACGTGAAAATACTTTTTAAATGGTTTTTAATGTAGGAGGACAAACATTTAAAAGTTATAAAGAAGTTGAAGAGACTTTGACATGTAAAATATGCCAGTTTGTGTAAAATCCCCAGATGTGGTATTGTTCTGATTGCAAACTTATAAAAAAATGAATAAAAAATGAGAAATATTTATTTTAATCTACATCCTAAACAGTATAGTTACATATATTGGCATGAAGTAAATTAATAAATACTAAATTCGATTATGAACTGCCATATAAATTGTTCCATTTTAAATTTGTTTAAATTCTCAGGGGTTTTCCGAAATATCAACCTTAATTTACTATCATCTGATTGCGGATTACTTCCAATCTGGGATGAGTTGTTCGACATTTCCGAACGCAAATGCAATATTAGGTATTTCGAACCTAACTAACTTTTATAGTTTGAAATGTTCCAAAAAAGTGACCAAAACATTAATAAACTAACCTAAAATTCCAATTAGCTGATAAATAACGATAAAAACAAAATCAAAACACCGGGATTCACTTAAATCCCGGTACAAGTGCGACATATCGATGACGTCATCAAAACTACCGGTAAAAAATGTGTTACCGGTACCGGGATTCTAGACACAGCGTTAAATAAACCGTGAAAATTTCATTGAAATCGGCTGAAGCTCTTTTGGGCTATTAATAAAACACTATTTTTTTTTGAAAAACGTATCACCCTGTATCTTAGAAACCAAGCGTTTCCAGACCTATAGAATTTTTAATACCCATTTAGAAGTACCTGTCGTTTTAGTGACAAAACGTATGTCGCTTCTTGACACACAAAAAAGAGTAGGCTAGGAATTTCCTATTTGTACATGAAATTGACGTATTAGCAATCGACATTCGTTTTTGTTGGTAATTTTTTGTTTCATCTGATACGTGATTGATAAATAAGGATGAGGTTATTCTAAATGGGTACTACAAATACTATATATCCATAGGAACTTTTTTAATTATTTCCATGAATACTATCTGCCCTTGAAGTTTGTAACACCATTTCTGAAACACCCTGTATATGAATGGATAGGTATTTTTAGCCTTTTTAACAAAAAAATATCAAATATAGGGTGTTTTATCAAAAATAACTTGGATATTGAAAATTGAAAAAAATGTCCTATGATCTGAGACACCCTGTATAAATTTAAAGCACCACACATCGTAGATCGTTGGGAGGTAGTCTTCTTAAGGTGTGGTTGAAATTTTGATAAATAATCTCAACTACCAGCCGCACAAGACACTATTTGCTGAGGGCATACATTTGCTAAACAAAATACATAACCTCAATTTCTGCCTAAATTACACAAAATTCGAATAGGTAGTCCTTAAGAAAGTTACCTTTATTTTTCTCCGGGAATCTAAAAATGAAAAATATACAAGGTTCCCATTTGAAATTCTGGTTTTAAAGTCGGTGCAGCACTTTTGGGACACCCTGTATAAATAAAACTCAAATAATTGACAACATTGCTTAAAACCAAGAAACTTTTGTATTTTTTTTTGTACACCCTGTAGTTTCTGAGAAAAGACATAGGCCCCTAATAAAATGCCCACCCTGTATGTGTCGTTTTAATGCCAACCGACTGTTTTTTATATTGCATTCACGATATTACGTTTGTCTAACAAAAATCTGGTGGCTGTGGGGAATCCGACGACCCTAACATGATGCCTTCGTGTTATGAAGCCGCTCAGGAAGTTCGGCGTGTACATGAGTTTGAGTTACAAAATCCAAAGTTCGATGTGTACAGGGTGGGCCAATTTGGACACTTTCTTATGGAAACACCCTCTATTTTTAGAGATAGAAAAAAATGAACCCCCCACTCTGAGGCTCAAATTTCATGAAATTTTGATTGGTGCAAACCACATTTTGATATCTTAAATCGTTTACCGCTAGAGGGCGATTCTCGATTTTGAGCAATAATGTGAAACCATCATAACTTTTTTGTTAATGAAAATTATTGATTTCCGTAAAAACTTTCTTGAAGCACTTTTTCAAGCAGAATTCAGTGACGTTCTCAGTTTTTTTCTAGTTGGTCCCAACGTCGAGATATTGATCAAAGTCTGGTTTTTTTCAATAAGATAACCAATATATTAATAGCTCATTGGAAAGTTCTGCTTTTTCTGATTTCAATGATATAAAGTTCGATAGGTTTATCTCTATCAGTTTTCGAGAAAAAAAATTATTTCGGTTTTTTTCATAAGAAGCAATGTGTAAGAAAAGGACTTCATATCTGTAAGGAAACTGAGAAAGGTCTCTTTCCAACACATTGTTTCTTATGACAAAAAACCGAAATATTTTTTTTCTCGAAAACTGTTAGAGATAAACCTATCGAACTTCATATCATTGAAATCGGAAAAAGCAGAGCTTTCTAATGAGCTATTAATATATAGGGTGTCCTTTTGAAAAAAACCAGACTTTGGTCAATATCTCGACGTTGGGACCAATTAGAAAAAAACTGAGGACGTCACTGAATTCTGCTTGAAAAAGTGCTTCAAGAAAGTTTTTACGGAAATCAATAATTTCCATAAACAAAAAAGTTATGATGGTTTCACATTATTGCTCAAAATCGAGAATCGCCCTCTAGCGGCTAAACGGTTTAAGATATCAAAATGCGGTTTGCACCAATCATAATTTCATGAAATTTGAGCCTCAGAGTGGGGGGGTTCATTTTTTTCTATCTCTAAAAATAAAGGGTGTTTCCATAAGAAAGTGTCCAAATTGGCCCTGTACATCGAAGTATACTGGGGACTATTTGTTTAATTGATTTAATTTTTAGGAAAAGTGTAGTCCGTCCGCTTTTTGTTTTATTTATAATTGGATGAGAGCCAGCGAGCCATCTTACATTAGTTTAAATAGATCTAATATTTTGACTATTTTGACATCAGCAGAATATTTACAAATCAAAGGTATAGTATTATAGGTTACATATTTCAGTGGCGAATCCAGAGTTTCTTTGCGATAGGGATTATTTGTCCGCAAATAAGAGGTTAACATTTTTAAACTTAGGATTGTATTTTATACCTAGCACATTTCTCATTTTGTTGAATATACCGGGTGACCACGAGATTTGCCTAAGATAGACCCAGCTATATCTTAATGCATGACAATCGATATCGATTTTAATTTCTATGGATATATTGTGACGGATTCCGGGTTCTCTAAAACCCACTTCACAAACAACAAACAATATATCACTTATCGAAACGTACACAACTCTCGAATTTGAACTAAAACTCAACAATACTCTTATTTGAACTGCTCACAACACAGCTCTTTTAGACTGACTTACTTAATACATACTAATATGTGCTATTATAGTCGGAAATGCACTCCGGATCTATATTTTCTAGTTTAGTTTAAATGGAAGTATCGAATTTTTTGAAGTAGGTAGTTCACAGCCGCCTGCAACAGCTATAGTAAATTTATAAAAAAGGATTTAAAAAAAATTATTATCGAAACTATAGGTATGTACAGTTGCGATCAAAAAAAAGTAGTACAAGAAAAATCTCCAATATCTCCTGGTCTATTATACATTAATTTAATTCATAACCAAAAAGACATATTTTTGGCATGTTTCGACAAGTTTTTAACCTAGAAAGCTTCAGATGACATTATTTTGATATTTTTCCACCCGTTTTCAACCTAGAATATGTCATTGCCTGTCAAAATTTTGTATGTTACACCAGGAGCTCAAATTGGGGTTAATAATTTTTGTACTACTTTTTTTTGATCGCAACTGTACGTTTAAGGAATGCGTGACAGATTGCCAGATTGTTTCATAATTAATGAACCAAAAGATGTTAAATTTGTTTTCAATTCTCCCTCTGTTGGATTCGCCACTGCCTTATTTGGCAATCAAAACAAATTTCTATCCAAATATTATTTTAAGATTTGATTGAACAATGTTGGGCTTTCATAGACAGCACAAATGTTTTCAATGAAGACTCAGCATTTCTACTTTACTTGGAGGCTAAGGAAAGGAAATTGCCACAAGTCCAGGAATTTATGCTGCCAAGAATTCGAAAGTTTTTCTTGACGTTGGTTAGCTCATCAAATTGGTTAGAATTAGATGTTCTCGACATGAAAAATTTGCTCAAGTCCAATTATGTTGCAATAAATTGGTAATTTTTTTTTATGCGAATACATGCAGAGAGAATCTTTTGCAGAAAAAAAATAATATGTTTCCAGCGAAATGGAAATATTTATGGCGGCTGTTCGATGGTTGAAGTACGATTATGGGGAGCGAGAGCAGTACAAGTATGAAGTGTTGAAGTGTGTTAGATTTGGGAACATAGCTCCATGGCAGTTAGTAGATATTAAAAAAAATCCACAAAATCCAGACTTTATTGAACTTTGTCAAGACTCTAGGATTTGCAATATGATTGATGAAGGAATTTCGTAAGTAGAACTCCTTTTCACAATTTATATCCTGAGTATATCAAGCTTCATTATAAGTTATATACCCTGATTTACGTAGCTCGTGCATTAGAAGCTTTCCAGTTTACAGGTGGATAAGTATTATTTTGTCCATTATTATCTAATCCATAAGAGAGTAAGAGTAGGTATGAGTTCTCTATGCGTTTGTCTTAGCTAAGCCTGATATCGTTCAGCCAGCCCGAATCAAAGTTTGAGTCTCAATCATCAATTCAACTAAATAATGTTGGTAGATAAGCTTTTTTATTAAAACCTCGAAATTTCTAAAAATCTTGAAAACTTACTTTGGTGTTAGGTAGGTAACTAACTGATCAGGTCAGCTAAATTAGCTATGTAAAATATATAATTTTTTTTTATATTCAACAATATTGAGAAATTTGGAAACTCGAAACTCTATATTTGACAAAACTTAATTTTTAGATTCATAATAATCAAGCATTGGTCCGGTCAGGATAATAGTGAAACTGACCTAGCACATTGTTATGGTATTTTGGGGTTAGAAGAACCTCCGCCGAGAAACTGGATGGGTCCTGAAAAATCCTATGCTACTTATAGAGATTTTTTAATTTATCTGGATCAGTATCGTAGAAGTCAGCTATTGGAGAAAAACACACCTCGATTGATCGATGAAGTCGATGAGCCGCTGGAAAATGAATTTTCGAGAAAATTTTCACGTCTGAAAATAAAAAGAAATCCGGATCTTCGACAAAATTAAAAAGAAATTGTGATGATATTATATTTTATTAAGTGCCTACTTTTTTGAGTCTATTTTAAATTTTATTATTATGACTTTATTAAGGAAATACTAACAAAATAAAAATTCTTCAAGGTTCCACAAAATATCCTGAAGCTTAGTGGCCGTCGTAACTTGAATTTATTCCTGACCTTTCGCTAGCACGAGGACGAGTGGGCTAACTTTTCCAGAGGTGCTTCCATTCCCAGACTACAACACTTTTTTTGGGACCGACGTTTATTATGAATATCGTTCAAATTTCATACATAAACTTCTAACAATCATAAGTTTTAAAAGTAGGTGATACTTGAAAACTAAACTACCAGGGTCCCTATTCTTGAAACAGGGGAGCAGCGTTCCCAGGAGAACGAGTGTTCCGTCTTTGTTACTTATACAGTCATTTGAATATCATTGGGAAAGACGGAACACTCGTTCTCCTGGAAACGCTGCTCCACTGTTTCAAGAATAAGGACTCAGGGGAGTACCGGATGTTTAAATAAAAACTAAATAAAAGATGAGAAGTTCAATAATTGTAACTAAATCACTAAAGCTAATCCTAAAAGCGAGTGGGGGCGTCTCTCGGCTGCTCGGGGCCTATATGCTCTAGCTGGTGTTGGTCCTAGCTTTCAAAAAGTGTGCTGTGTTCGACTTTCTTAGCTTGCCCTTCCCGGAGATCAACGGCAAAGCAGATGTTGTCTCGAGGTGTGGCGTTGGTCCTAGTGGAGATCGAGGAAGCATCATACAAAAATAAGGAGAAACCGAAATCGGCGAAATCTCATAAATTGAGACTCCTACAAGGGAAGTCGCGGAGACTGAGCAGCCTCACAAAGTCTAACCAACGATATCAGAAACTCCTGCGAAAGGCCCCTTAAAAAAATGGCAGTTCTTAGAAACGTGCCTTGATGGAACTGCACGGAAAAAATACTTCACTATAGTAAAGAATAGTACCGTTTGGCCAAGAATATATTTGTTCTACTATTCCCCAAGAAACCCTGTGTTTTTATTCTCATCAAATTTAACCGATGGATCCACCATTCTATGGCCGTCATTGTCATTTTCCATTCACCAAACAAAGATAGCTAAGTCAGTAGTGTAAGATGGCCGGTTCTGCGCCCTCCGACGCCTCAGACGCCTCCGTGACGTCTGCGCATGCGCCAACCAGGGCGTCGCGACGCCGTGACGTCATCAGTCAGCTGTCACCTGTCAATGTCATCTGTCATGGTGAGTAAGGGTTGGTTTGGGTTAGTTATAGGTTAGCATAGGACCCCCCACGTCAGCTGTCAATGTCAGTCATCCGTCCTGTCAGGGGGTCCTATGCTAACCTATAACTAACCCAAACCAACCCTTACTCACCATGACAGATGACATTGACAGGTGACTGACATTGACAGATGACATTGACAGGTGACATTGACAGTTGAATGACATTGACAGCTGACTGATGACGTCACGGCGTCGCGACGCTGAATTACTAGGACCACAAATAATTGCTCTAATCGTATTTGGCAAAAGCTCACTATGTCTTTTCCTCTCACTCACTTTTTTTTCAGGTAACCTAACTGACCCAACGACGTGGGAGGTCCTATGCTAACCTATAACTAACCCAAACTAACCCTTGCTCACCATTGCTGTATACAAACGTATCTCTAGCCCTGTATAGGTGTATACAAACCTATCTCTAGACCTGTATAGCTGTTTCAGATCAAAGGCGCCGGCGCCGCCGATTTAGAGATTTTTCCCACGGTTTCGAAAAAATTCTCAGGCTCAGGTGCCCCCGTTACTACTAACCTGTCTCGAAAAGCTGTCTCGAAAAGCTGTCTCTATAGACAGACCTGTCTCGAAAAGCTGTCTCCATAGACAGACCTGTCTCGAAAAGCTGTCTCCATAGACAGACTTGTCTCGAAAAGCTGTCTCCATAGACAGACCTGTCTCGAAAAGCTGTCTCCATAGACAGACCTGTCTCGAAAAGCTGTATCTATAGACAGACCTGTCTCGAAAAGCTGTCTGTGTAGACAGACCTGTCTCGAAAAGCTGTCTCTATAGACAGACCTGTCTCGAAAAGCTGTCTCGAAAAGCTGTCTGTGTAGACAGACCTGTCTCAAAAAGCTGTCTCTGGACCTGTACAGCTGTCTACACACTTATAATTGTCTCTGGACCTGTATAGTTAGAACGTTTTATAGTCTATAAGAATATACTGCATCACATATTGAAAAATGTAGCAAAATTTATACTGATTGCTCCTCGTACCCGTTGGAAGCCAGACAGGTAAGAATGGATAGGTATATTATCTGATTGGCTTCATCCTCCATGTACACGTTCGATGCCAGTAAACGTGGACTCAATAGATCTGATTAGTCATTGCCGATTATGATTGATTGACATACTGTCTATTGATTATTAATTTTAGTGCTGTTTTTTGAAATTACGCCGTTCATGTTTGACAAAGAAAAAGCCGACGGAAGCCGGGATTTAGTTAGTTTTTATGCTAGTCCAAGTGACTTCGTAGGGACTTTACTTATAAACATTTTTTATCAATAATTACTCAATGATCTAGTGCCTTGTCTAGAGTGCTGGATTTTGGTGTGATGGTCTGAGGACTCGATTCCCCGGCTAGAATTTTTGCAATCGATCGATGACGAGACGACGACGAGGATGACGCCCGATGGCGGGACGATAACTGTGTTTTGAAGATGATAGCATGAGATAAGGAGTTGCGGTCGAATTCCAGGAAATTCCCCAAAAAAATTGGGTTTGGTCCGGGTCAAACCCCGAAATTTCAGATCAAATACATCGTCGATCTGGATATTTTCCCACGGTATCGATAAACTTCCTAGGCTCTGTGTGGTTAGTCCTTCTATACTATTTTTCATTTATTTCGCGTTCCAGATTTAATCGACATTCGGAAAGGTAGAAATGAAACAGCTCCTGGTAGCTTAGTTGATTAGAGCGTTGCACTGGAAATGCAGGGGTCCTGGGTTCAAATCCCATTCGAGACATGAATTTTTTTTATCAGTTTTTAATTATTACGTCTGCATACCACTAAAATAAACACACGATTTTCTAAACCAATGATTTGAATTACTAGGATTAACAGAGATTCAAACAAAGTTAAACTTAGGCACGAGTAATTAAATAAATAAACAGTGACCTGTTTGTATTTTACACTTTAACATAAAACCAAAATGGTGAATGTAAATGTACGTAATATGAATGTTTTTACTAAAATGTATGTCTTATGTCGAAAAGCTGTCTCCATAGACAGACCTGTCTCGAAAAGCTGTCTGTGTAGACAGATCTGTCTCGAAAAGCTGGCTTCATAGACAGACCTGTCTCGAAAAGCTGTCTGTGTAGACAGACCTGTCTCAAAAAGCTGTCTTTGGATCTGTATAGCTGTCTACACACTTATAATTGTCTCTGGACCTGTATAGTTAGAACGTTTTATAGTTTATAAGAAGTGACTTGAACCAAGCCTAAAACAGTGGTATGGTCAATATACTGCATCACATATTGAAAAATATAACAAAATTTATACTGATTGCTCTTCGTACCCGTTGGAAGCCAGACAAGTAAGAATGGATAGGTATATTATCTGATTGGCTTCATCCTCCATGTACACGTTCGATGCCAGTAAACGTGGACTCAATAGATCTGATTAACCATTGCCGATCATGATTGATTGACATACTGTCTATTGATTATTAATTTTAGTGCTGTTTTTTGAAATTACGCCGTCCATGTTTGACAAAGAAAAAGCCGACGGATGCCGGGATTTAGTTAATTTTTATGCTAGTCCAAGTGACTTCGTATGGACTTTACTTATAAACATTTTTTATCAATAATTACTCAATGATCTAGTGCCTTGTCTGGAGTGCTGGATTTTGGTGTGATGTAAGTCCTATCAAATTGATTTGACACCTCAAGAGGTCCCGTTTCGGCTTTTCGATTTGCTCATCTTTGTTTGAATGATAGGCTATCCTTTTTTATTTTGAAGTGATAAGTTGTGGTGTCATGTGTTGTGTTTTTGTTTTATGTTTGACGCTTGTGTATGTAATCCTTATATTTCATCTTTTTCAACAAAGCCGCTGACTAATCACTCAACATGTTGAGTGTTGGTGAACGCGGTCATTCTCACAAAAGGAATACGGGAGTGTAGAGTTGAGAGACAAGAAGAAAAATGTAAATCAAGTTTCTCCTACCCTACGAGTCGTGCGTCCAAAGTGGAGGTTTTGCTATTGACGGTGCTGCCTTAAGATTTCGTTGCAACATAATAATTAAAAATTGAAATTTTTTCAACGCGAAAGGAACCTTTAGAAGTGAAAATAGTTTGAATTGAAGCGAAAAATCAATTATAAAATAATAAACATAATCCATCATCTATTATTCAAATTTGAAGGTCGATTTTTCTCTCGTTTTTCATACCACCGTCTATTTGATGTCGATACGGAATTCGACAATAATACATATGAATCACTCTCCATCTGATATCGAAATAGGTATCGAATGACAGCTAGCGAGCCGACTTGTGATAAGATAAGAATCCCCTAGCTGATACTCCAATATGAGTTGGTGTGGCTCTCTACGATTGTGCGTCAATGGTCACCTGATCTCACACCTGTTTTTTTACCGTATCCTTCCTTCATTTGCTCCCCATACGGAAAGTGTCGACTTAAAAAAGCTAAACAATAGAGTATTCGATGTTCTATCCTAATGTTGTGCACAATGCTCTCATTGAATTTTGTTTAAATTATTATAGCCTAACCTAGTCTAGAGGCCATAAATAAAAAGCAGTAAAATATTATAACAAAAGTTTTATTTAACAGAAAATTTACTAGTACAACTTCATAATTTAGGTTCTACGTTCGGGTTTTGCAAAATAATGAAATGGTATCCTTTTTTGTTCAACAAATTGTGAAAATTCGCAAGGCAAACAAAGTCGATTGGGTATATCAGTTTCACCCTTACATCTGGGGCATGTATACTTAGTAGGGATTGGCATTGTAAACAGTATCAAGTCTATCAACGTAATGCTTCATTTCAATGAGAAAGTCTCCTGTTATACAATTTTGAAGTTTGATAATTATTACTAATGCGGCATGTTATA